CACGCAATCCATCCATCTCTTTCTAGGTCTACCTCTACCGATGTACTCCTCCAAACTCATAACTAAACATTAAAAACGTACATTAATTTTACAATTTTACTACATCAGGATGTAGTATCAACGTTATACGTACCACTGTTAACAGCGGTGACGACAAGGCGCAACTTTTCGGTATGCTGGTAGGGCGTGGTGGGAGGGTTCCACACGATCTTGATTTTGGGCGGCAGCAGCTTGGTGCCCGCTTTGGCCGCCACCTGCGCAGCGTTCCCGCCGCAAAGCGACAGCCGCCATATTGGATTCTTAGCGTCCACGATGTACTATAAAACATAATAAATGTCATTATATTGAAACAATAGCATGTCATCACTTTTATTATTTTCGGAAAAAATAAGGAGACCATTATTTTGTACGGATATTTATATGGAAATCCACAGTTACAGGAAAATTACCAATGGCGCCAATGTTTACAAGTAACAATTAATTATAATTTTTGCAAGAATATCCCGTCGGGAACGACTTATGCCATTTAACTTCAATTAACCCTTGCTCTCATAAAACTCAATTAGCCGATGCTACTGGTCGAACACAAGTGGCTATCGTCTTACAATAAAAAGAAAAAAGTCAAACTTAAAGACAAAAGACGACTAATTTTAAATGCAACACAACGCGTACGCACGCCTGAAACTAAACTATCGCATAACTGTTTAGACTCGCTTTGATTATTATGACCTTAGGTGCGTAAACTACTCCATTTTTAGTTGTGCAACTAAACAGTTGAATATGCTGCAAAAGAATCGACAATCGCACAATAGTCGTGCGATTGTTTAGTCAAAATGTGCGCCTGATTCTTATTTTATTCACTATTATGTATGTAACCGCTGGAATTTACTGCGGTTTCGTTCCGCGCATAGTAACACAAGTGATTACATACTTCCCTTTACTAATCACAACTATGGCTTACGTGATCGTTTTGTTCTCTGGTTTAGTTTATTTTATGGTTTCCCAACATCCTAAATATCTATATTTATAGAGCATCTATACTTATGTTATAAAGAGGAAAGATTTGTATTTTTGTATACTTTGAAATAACTCAAAAACTACTTAGTCTGTTTGAAAAATACTTTTACCGTTAGAAAGGTAATTTATCTGTAAGTATCATAAGATATATTTTTATTACTTTTTATTTCACGCGGCTGAATTCGCGAGAAACAGCTAGTAAGCAATATACAGTATACTGGTGACGTCCAACATCGGTGGCTCGGATAGAACTAACTTGCTGGCATGCCATGACAGTAGACAACAGTCTTACCATATACACTAACATGTAATTAGTTACCTTAAAAAAGATCTTTGTATTTGAACACGAGATTGTAATGTTTTATGGCTGGTGTAAAGATCAGTGACGTAATTAGTCTGAAAGAGTGGTTAAGCGATACTTACAATGAGCATCTTGCAGGCATCGGTGTTGTTGGCGTGGGCAAGTGGCGCAGCGCCATCAGTAGCCGTGTCTTGCGCGTGTGCCGGACTGCGGGCGCTCCACTTACGCGCCGGCGCCGCACCTTCGCGCAAATCCGTCAGACCACGCTCCCATTCAACTAGCGATTCCTGGAAATGTAAGAATCTAAATCAGTAACAAATTAACTATTTAAAACTAGTTATAGCATCTTCATCGATCCAATTGAATAATTGGATTGGCACAAATGCAGTATCGAACATTTTTTCCATTACAGTTTTGTTCTGAGTTTTATATTCGCATACAAATACAATACGGTCTTTATAGTCTCGGAGATGCAAAAATTTTATTATAGGTAGTAGTAAATAAGTTTTAAATTGGTTGTAACCTTTTGGGTGTATCAAACCAAAACGACGTAATGACGTCGTGACGTAAAAACAACATCTAAGTCCTTTATGGTTGTTGATTGGAACACCTGAACAATCAGTCAACATGAGTCAAGCTCAAACGACTTAATTTGACTATTGTTATTGTAATATTAAAATCAATAGAAATAAATACAAGCTACACAAATTGAGCATAAAAAATAATGCTTTTCTAAAGAAAATCTTTGTTATAAAGTTGACATATACAATAGACCGTAATTTTGTTTTTAAATTTTAAACATGTTCTGTACATATTTGTATAATTATTGACGATTTACGTGAGAAACCAATAGTTACTGCGTATTTTTTATTTTGCTGACATTAAGTCGAACATGCAGCATGCTTATCACGTACGCATATTGTTATTTTTATTCGCAGCTTCGTGTTACCGATAGATTGTTAACTTTGTCAATTTATTATCGGACTATATAAAAAAGTTCAATTATAAAGTGACGAAATTTAAAATCTTCCCGTAACAGTAAACGTAGAGCAAAAATATTCTTCTCAAATTGATTTTGTAGTCATCACTGGTATTTTAATATGTCTTTGATAATCTGTACAGGAAACAATGTTGCCAGTTTTTATGTGGCCGACGTGTTATATATAAATATTCAGGATTCGCCATATAAACCCTGCTGGTATTGTTCGAAGTTCTTCGTGTTGTCAGTGGTTTATAATTTTATATTGTAACAATGTTCGATACGGAATTAATTAAATAACAATACTTCTTGTATCTAACGCTGGGTATCTATACTAATATTATAAAGAAAAAAGATTTGTATTTCTGTTTGAGAGTAACATAGGCTTATATTCTTAACTGAATTATTTTTTAATAGCGCAAAGCCGCGAACAAAAACTAATCGGTTATAAATATTATTAACTGAATATTGTCCATCCCTACAATGTTATTTTAAACTGTTTTCATTGTTTTATTTGTAAAGGACGATAAAGAAATTGGTCTAAATTTCAAAGCCCGTTTGTTTTCAGTTCGGCATCTCTGGTATATTTTAAACAAATTTTAAAAATCAGCATCTCGAAGTATTGTGATGTTTCCTATTGATATTCTTTATGTAAGGTAACAAAAGATTATTGAATACAAAGCAGATAAATCTTATTACGGAAGACGACACGTGTTGAATAATTTTGTATTTATATTCCGCACGCAGCTGAAGCTCAAAATGTACCGATAGTTTGCAAATTTATTATTGTTTAAAAATAAAAATTGCGTAAAACAGTCATACAAAGGAATATGATACATGTTCATATTGTTAAGAAATCGGTACCGCGCCAGAGTAGCGCAACACTAGATCATTGATATACACGTCCCATCCCTATGACATCTATCAATGTCAAACTAAAGTATTAGGGATATGCGCGCTATAGCGGGAATCGGTAGATTGAGTGTCAAAGTATAACTACGCTGTTACCAACTATATTATTTTCTAAAAATGTAAACCTTAAGACTATATTAACGATTGTTCCTCCCCCAACTAGATCTAGCCTATTCCATTGACTAACGTACGTAATGCACTGTCATCATAAATGTTTGGGAATAGCGAGCCTATTAAGAAATCATTTCAATCCGAATACGTTACGAAAATCCAGTAAGCAACATCATCTGAATTTAACAATGCGATATTGTTTAATTGCGAAGTAGACGAAACAAAGAGCGATTGCGTTTGCTGGTTGCGTCAAGTGCGAACTGCGAATATTGCACCGTATTGTGTGCAAGAACTGTTTTACATGCGTATGATAAGGCGAGAAAATGAACTTAAAAGAATCAATGATTCATTTTATTCTACGGATTCCTGAAGAGATAAAAAAAATCTCATTAAAATTTCACCTTATTCTTTCCAATTACGCAGTCATTGAGCACTTGTAATTAATTTAAAAGTATAATAAAAAAGAAAAAGCCAAACAGTTCCTCATAAAACCAAGAAAATCGTGCTAACAAGCGTCGTAAGGGGGATTTCCTTATGACCAGGCTGATAGCTAGCATTGTCTTGTCACGCGGTTCCGCTCGACCTTGTTCTAACTGCGTTCATTCGTTTCACAGACAATTGAATAAAGCTTAATTATCTAGAGCTATTCCCTTCCTTCCTTCCTGTGTTCCTAAATGATTTGCAAACATGAAGTAGACCGCAGCATACTCTAAAGGTACAAACAAGTACAAGGTTTATAAAATTGTTATCGCTTGGTTAATCGAAATACTATCCTTCCGCTGCTTAAAAAAATATGATAAAAATTGTAATAACATGACTTTGTACAGTTAGCTTGTTGGTTTCAAAAACATGTATTCGCGTGTATACGTATGCTTCTAGCCCTAATTACATTGTATTGAAAGAAAAGTACGTACATGGAAATCGAATGTCTAGTTTTTTTTTTATATAACATAAGGTGGCAAACGAGCAAACGGCCACCTGTATCCACCGAAATGGAAAGCGACCGCTGCCCATAAATATCCGCAATTGCAGATACGTTGCCTACTCTTAATTGAGGGAGGAGGAGACGCACATAAAGAAGACATTTTATCTTTCTATGCATCTTCTCCGTCGTCAAATCCACTTTTTCTTCCCAACCTTCCCTCTTAAGAAAAGGGTGGAAACGAAAGGGACCAAAATTAGGCCTCTGGCACCACACTCATCAGACGAAACGCGGAATTGATTCCATCTCACGCCTGTTTTCTGTATGGTCGTGGTATAGCACCGGGCGAGTCGGCCCATTCGTGCGAAGATGTTAAAGCGGCTTTACCACTGTAAAAAGTTTCTAGTTTCTAGTTTTGTAACATATATGCAGCTAACTGTATAGAAATATAGTGTTTAGATCAAGACCGACTTCACAATTGATAGAATAGTGCCAATTTAACGTCAATCAGTCCCTTATACTGCGAAAGGTATCTAGGCTAAGGATCAAGTCTCCAAGGCGAGTTGCCAAGGTTCCACATAATCTGAACGTATATACGACCTTGCGCAATTCAATACAGAACCACCTCGTTACAATTGAATTTTAAAATACTACAATATGAGGGACATTATCTACAATTACTTTAATATGTGGAAAATTATTTTCTCAATGGATAAAGGTTTACACAGTAATAAGACCAAGTTAAAGAAAACTGAAGGATATTTTTTAAATTGTAAAACACAGTCAAATGTTGAATTTTTCTTTTGTATTTCAGATGATTATCAAAGGTTAATAATACTAAAATGTAATTACGCATAAACAGACAACAGTCTTCTATTTAAATTATGAAGATTGAATGCACTATTGGTGCTCATTATCGTGTTTTCATGTTTCTAGCTTCAGAAAATTATTGTGTTTACTCTTATAAAAATATCGAGGACAATCCTTAGAATGTAAAAAGTTTAGTCACTCTAACATCACGGTCCGACCTAAATGCAACAACTACAATGTACGTTATGTCTGTGTGTCGTCTTTTGTCATCTAGAAGATGCTTTTAGTATTTACCGTATTGAATATTCACTATTCATCAAGTCTTGCTCAAGACTTGTTAATCCAAAACAAAACAGACTCTCTGTAGCAACATTTTTTAATGAATTACGCCTTTTTATTTCTTCCTTTCTGTTCTGTCTCGTGACGGTTTAGTCGTCATTCTTAAAATTTAAGGTTATGTTTTTATTTCATTTTTATGTTGCCATTACTTATATTAAATGAAATCGACCATGAAAATCTATACTAGTATTGTAAAAAGGAAATATTTGTGTTTTTCTATTTTTGTATGTATTGAAATAACTCAAAAACTACTGGGCCGATTTACAAAATTCTTTCACCATAAAAAAAACTACGTTATCATTGAGTTGCATATGCTGTTTTTTTTATTATTTTTTAATTTCACGCGAGCAAAGACGAGAGCAACAGCTAGTACTAAAATAAAAACAAAAATTTGTATGCATAGATGTTTTAACGTAACTCTAAGGCCTAACGAATGTCGTTGAATAGCACAAATGTAGAACGTAGTCTGGAAGAACACAAGACAACTAAGTTTTTTTCCGCATTGACGTACTCGCGGGCAACAGCTAGTGATCTATACTATTATATGCATTCCCAGGCCGGTTGTAAAACAGGAAGGTTAACACCATAGAATCTCAGCTTGTTATATTTCAGACATAGTTTTCTCAGTAGAATATACATAATATTTTACACTGATAATTGAATTATCTATCATTCTAAGATTCTTAATTAATTGTAGATAGTTATGTGATTATAGCTGCTAATAACTTAAGAGGGCCGGTTTTAGGTTAGGTTACCCTTAGCTGCAAAATCTTACGAAAAAAGCATAAACGGGCGCCCATTTTTGTCGCCTGTGGCGCTTAATGTCCGGCGCCCTGGACTGTCGCCCCACCTCTATTTTTTCTAACACCACGTCTTAATCCTAATAGGAAGCCTCAAAGGACATCCGGCCAAGTGGTAATGGGAGTATAATAACAACTCGACTATTGTCGTCAACGTCTTCGTTGGACTTCAAAGAAAAGTCAGTAAATATCAAATTATCTGCTTTTTTAATTTAAGAATACGTGAACATGTTAACAATCTTTATGTAACAGTTTATCTTTAGCCCGGATCTGTTTCCGTGTCCGTACACTAATTGTGTCATTGCAAGCCGCATGTCACGAGCCAGTCATAAACGTGTCACGTCGAACGTTTATAACCTTAGTCTAGATTTCTATAGGCTTAAAACATAGTTATAGTCATTACGTTTACAACAT